GGCCCCATAGGAGTTCCGCCGAAGGTCCCGGTGGCACAGTTCGCATGCGTCTCCGGCAGTCATTCGGGCACACCCCTCACACGCTTCGTGGCCCCATAGGGCACTCCACCGAAGGTCCCCGTGGCGCAGTCCGCATGCGTCTCCCTCACCCAGTGCAGCGTCTCGTGGCCCCATATGGAGCCCCACCGAGGTCCCCGTGGCGCAGTCCGTATTGTGTTGTTCGTTTTCGTTCGCGTTGTGTACCACGCCATTCATTTCGGCACACCCCTAGCACGGTTCGTTGCCCCATAGGGATCACCACCGAGAAAGTGAATCACAATTGCGGCACTCACACCTGCATATGGTTGGGCCCTTGGTCAGGCTAATTTCGTTTTTCCGACGGTCCAAGTCAGCCCACGGTTCAAGACGACCCAAGAGGCACCCAAAGAGGGCGCCAGGACGGCGCAAGAGAGTCCAAAGACAGCCCACGAGTGCCCCAAGACGGCCCAACAAGCGCCCAAGAGGGCTTCAAGACGGCCCCAGGAGGGGGACCACGAACCGACAATTCGAGCCTTCCGCCCCAGGAGGCTCCAAAAGGCCCCCAAGAGAGCCCAAGAGGACCCCCAGAGGCCCCCTAGAGGCCCCAAAGAGGCATCAAAAGAGGCCCCAAGAGAATTGCCACCAAGGGGCTTCCAAAACTGCCTTCAAGAGGCGCCTCCCGCGAATTCCAAACGAACTTCCAAGAGGCCTCGAACTCACAACCCAGGCACGGTTGCGGGATGGGCCGAAGACCAACAGATGGTCCAAGACGGCCTCCAGACGGCCCAAGAGGCCCCCAAAATATCCAAGAGGCTTCCAAGAGGTCTCTCTACAGAGTTCAAAGAGTTCAGAAAACATGCGTTGTGCTTTACAACTGTTTTTGAACAATGTTGGCCTTTCCGCCTGATCCGCGCCCCGACGCTGCAAAACGCCCAAGAGGCTCCGAGGATCGCCCCACGACGGCCCAATAGGATTCAACAGCGCCCCAAGACGATCCAATAGGCTTCAAAAGCGCCGAGGCGACGCACAAGACGGCCCGTGAGGGCCCCAACCGCGGCCCAGGATCGTGAGCGTGAACCGAGAACCCGAGATCTTCGCCCCAGGAGACACCCAGGAGGTTTCAAGAGGCCCCCAAGAAGCCCTAAAGAGGCCCAAAATAGCCCCGAGAGAGGCCCCGAGGACACTTCTTGAAACCAATTGGACCGTCTTCGTGGTTATTGGAAGCCCCGGAGAAGAAGTGTTATGGGATAGAGATCCCCAAGAGTTCGACCAGCCAGCCTAGCTAGAACTTGAGCGCGCGCGAAGCGCGCGCGGAGGTTCTAGTGTGTACGCACATATATGTATATGTATATATATATATATATATATATATATATATATATAATATATATATTACATAGATTATAGATTAGACACATTCAGGCTGATACGTTTAAAAACAAACGCGACCATTGCGTTCGGAGCAGCACAGCATCGCAGAACAGGTCGATCCGCCTGCGGTATGTTTCCGTTCTAGAGCAGGTCCCACATAGGACTCCAAGCGGGAGGAGCAACAGCATCAACACTAGAGCCAACGCATCGCTAGATGATAAGCGCGCGAAGCGCGTGATGCTCTAACACACATATGTAAATATATATGTATGTATGTATATGTATGTATGTATACGTTGGTACGCACACATTTTGACATGCGCGCATCAACATAGCACATGCATATGTATACATAGATGTGTGCATCGGGATCATGATCCAACTCGACACCCGACCAACTGATGAGCCTCAGTGGAGATACGGGAAGGGGGAAGGGGTGGATGATACCAAATGCGGGATGAGAGCGCCGAGCTTGCGCATCCTCCCTGATCTCTCTCTGTCTCTCTCTCCCTCTCTCTCTCATTTTCGTCCCCCGGGCGCCCTCCCCTCTTGTTCATTTCTTTTCCATCTTCCTGGCCCCTCCCCTCACATGAAGATAGGTCAGAGTGGTGCATCCGAGTTGAATGTGTCACTCTGCCGCAATAGCAGCGCCTGTCTACCAATCGTGCTTCTTTGCGCTGTCGACGCACACTGCTTGTTTCTTCTTCTTCTTCTTCGTCTTCTTCGTCGTCTTCTCGGAGGGGCAAGAGATCCTGAGACTAATACTTTCCAGACTATACAGCATTTCTAAGATTTCCGGATGTTCCTCCAGGGCTGCACGAGGGCCGCTAGATACTGTTTGGAAATCCTGAAACGCATCCCATGGCATCGCTCGGCCGTGTGCATTTTTCCTTGGCGAAGACCATCGGAGAGCATTTTTGGCCATCGTGTGACAAATTACACGCGCGAAATCGGAAAGTGCACGGGGGTTGGGCGTCCGAGCGATGGCGAGATCCTGAGCCAATCCTATCATGACATCGTTCTCGTCCTAGATGTTTCTTTTTCTTCTTCCTCCTCTTCTTCTGCCTCCGCCTCCGCGCCGCACAGCTCGGGCTACTCGCCGGACGCCTCTGGAGCGCCTTCTCCGGGGAGGCCCCCGGCGCCGCCGCTGCTGGAGACGGTCCAGCCAGTCTCCGTTGTCAGACATGTCCCACCGAGCGGGTTCCATTACTCGGAAAGTGTCTACTCGCAAGCGTCCGAAAAACACACGTTCGCCTCGAAGTAATGGAGCGTGACTTCCCCGCGGCGGATCCAGGCCATTTCGAGTAGTTAGACTGTGAGCAGTAGGGAAAGCGTTTGTCTAGTGTCTCTGGCCCAAGGTCGCCCCAGCGTTTCCAAGGAGGCCTGGGAGCGCCCATCGCGCGGCCAAGGGGGCCCCAGACTCCAGAGCTGTGCGAGCGGCTGGGGGCACCGTGGACCACGCCTTGCAACTTCCTGCAGTGCGGAGCGCCCCCCTTCGGTTCTGTGATTGCAGTGTTTTCATGTTCTGCTACGAGGAAGAGAGAAGGAGAGGGTGCATGATAAACACGCCAGATCATTCCTCGGATTCCATCTCTCTTTTTTAATTTCCTGTTGGGTCCTCATTTTGAAGAGACAGCGCCCCGCGTTTCCTCCTCCTTCCTCCTCCCTCCTCCCCTCCTCTCATCAGCATCATCATCATCATCATCATCATCATCATCATCATCATCATCATCATCAGCATCAGCATCAGCATCAGCATCAGCATCATCATCATCATCAGCAGCAGCAGCAGCATCATCATCATCAACATCAACATCAACATCAACATCAACATCCGCATCATCACACGTTCCGCTGCCCCATAGGGAGCTCCGCCGAAGGTCCCAGTGGCACATGCGTCCCCGCCACTCATTTCGGCACACCCCTCACACGTTTCGTGGCCCCATAGGAGCTCCGCCGAAGGTCCCAGTGGCACAGTTCGCACGTGTCCCCGCCACTCATTTCGGCACACCTCTCACACGTTGCGTGGCCCCATAGGTTTTCCGCCGAAGGTCCCAGTGGCACAGTTCGCATGCGTCCCCGCCACTCATTTCGGCACACCCCGCACACCCTTCGTGGCCCCATAGGAGCTCCGCCGAAGGTCCCAGTGGCACAGTTCGCATGCGGCCCCGCCACTCATGTCGGCCCACCCATCACACGTTTGGTGGCCCCATAGGAGCTCCGCCGAAGGTCCCAGTGGCACAGTTCGCATGCGTCCCAGCCACTCATTTCGGCACACCCCTCACTGCCCCTCACACGTTTCGTGGCCCCATAGGAGCTCCGCCGAAGGTCCCAGTGGCACAGTTCGCATGCGTCCCCGCCACTCATCCCGGCACACCCCTCACACGTCTCGCGGTTCCATAGGACCTCCGCCGAAGGTCCCAGTGGCACAGTTCGCATGCGTCCCCGCCACTCATCTCGGCACACCCCTCACACGCTTCGCTGCCCCATAGGAGCTCCGCCGAAGGTCCCAGTGGCACAGTCCGCATGCGTCCCCGCCATGCATTTCGGCACACCCCTCACACGTTTCGTGGCCCCATAGGAGCTCCGCCGAAGGTGCCAGTGGCACAGTCCGCATGCGTCCCGCCACTCATTTCGGCACACCCCTCACACGCTTCGCGGCTCCATAGGAGCTCTGCCGAAGGTCCCAGTGGCACAGTCAGCATGCGTCCCCGCCAATCATTTCGGCACACCCTTCACACGTTTCGTGGCCCCACAGGAGCTCCGCCGAAGGTCCCAGCGACACAGTCCGCATGCGTCCCCGCCACTCATCTCGGCACGCCCTCACACACGTCGTGTCCCCATATGAGCTCCTCCGAAGGCCCCAGTGGCACAGTTCGCATGCGTCCCCGCAATTAATTTCGGCACACCTCCCACACGCTTCGTGGCATCATAGGAGCTCCGCCGAAGGTCCCAGTGGCACAGTCCGCATGCGGCCCCGCCATCCATTTTGGCACACCCCTCACACGCTTCGTGGCCCCCAAAAAGTTCCGCCGAAGGTCATAGTGGCACAGTTCGCACGCGTCCCCGCCATTCATGTCGGCACACCCCTCACACGTTTCGTGGCCCCATGGGAGTTCCGCCGAAGGTGCCAGTGGCACAGCTCGCATGCGTCCCCGCCGCTAACTTCGGCACACTCCTCACACGCTTCGTGGCCCCACAGGAACTCCGCCGAAGGTCCCAGTGGCACAGTTCGCATGCGTCCCCGCCAGTCATTTCGGAACACCCATCACACGTTTCCTGGCCCCATAGGAGCTCCGCCGAAGGTGCCAGTGGCACAGTCCGCATGCGTCCCCGCCACTCATCTCGGCACACCCCTCACACGCTTCGTGGCCCCATCGAGCCCCGCCGAAGGTCCCAGTGGCACAGTTCGCATGCGTCCCCGCCATTCATTTCGGCACACCCCTCACACGTTTCGTGGCACGTCCGCATATTTCGGCACACCCCTCACACGTTTCGTGGCCCCATAGGAGCTCGCCGAAGGTCCCAGTGGCACAGTTTGCATGCGTCCCCGCAATTAATTTCGGCACGCCCCTCACACGCTTCGTGGCCCCAAAGGAGCTCCGCTGAAGGTCCCAGTGGCACAGTTCGCATGCGTCCCCGCCACTCATTTCGGCAAACCTCTCACACGCTTCGTGGCTCCATAGGAGCTCCGCCGAATGTCCCAGTGGCACAGTTCGCATGCGTCCCCGCAATTCATCTCGGCACACCCCTCACACGCTTCGTGGCCCCATAGGAGCTCTGCCGAAGGTCCCAGTGGCACAGTTCGCACGCGCCCCCGCCAATCATTCCTGCACACCCCTCACACGTTTCGCGGCCCCATAAGAGCTCCGCCGAAGGTCCCAGTGGCACAGTCTGCATGCGTCCCCGCCACTCATGTCGGCACACACCTCACACGCTTCGTGGCCCCATAGGAGCTCCGCCGACGGTCCCAGTGGCACAGCTCGCATGCGTCCCCGCCATTCATCTCGGCACACCCCTCACACGCTTCGTGGCCCCATATGGGGCTCTGCCGAAGGTCCCAGTGGCACAGTTCGCATGCGTCCCCGCCATTAATTTCGGCACACCTCCCACACGCTTCGTGGCCCCATAAGAGCTCCGCCGAAGGTCCCCGTGGCACAGTCCGCATGCGTCCCCGCCACTCATGTCGGCACACCCCTCACACGCTTCGTGGCCCCATACGAGCTCCACCGAAGGTCCCAGTGGCACAGTTCGCACGCGTCCCCGCCATTCATTTCGGCACACCTCTCGCACGTTTCGTGGCCCCATAGGAGCTCCGCCGAAGGTCCCCGTGGCACAGTCCGCATGCGTCCCCGCCACTCATTTCGGCCCACCCCTCACACGTTTCGGGGAAGCTCCTTGCGGCGGCCACGCCCAGCGTCACGAGTAGTCAGAGGCAGTCATTCCCAAATTATTCACAATCATATGCAATTACACCATGCTTTGTCATACTCGCATTCATGCACGCAGACTCGCTCGCACGCAGATTAATTCACAGTCTGAAGCACTCGCGCTCATTCACCCGCGCCCAGCCTCCCTACGTACTCAGATCAATTGTTTTCGCTCGCGTTGTGTACCACGCCACTCATTTCGGCACACCCCTAGCACGGTTCGTTGCCTCATAGGGATCACCACCGGAAAAGTGAATCACAATTGCGGTACTCACACTTGCATATGGTTGGGTCCTTCGTCAAGCTAATTTTTCATCGAAATTATGCTGAAAATGCCCCGTGCCTTCATTTTCACTAAGGAAAACGGTGGTCCGCGGACCCCGACATTTGTCGAGGATCCGCGGTGGGGAGTCGACTTTCCTCGAGCGGGCACGCGCGAAACGCACTTTTTCACGCCAAATTGAATTTCACCTATTTCTTTATCGGGCGGAAATCCGATGGCCCCCTTCAATTCAAAACCGTGGGTAAACCATTTATAAAAGAGAACCTTGGGCCCATTATCGAGGATCCAAGCTGGGGGGCTCACTTCCCTCGAGCGGGCACGCGCGAAACGCACTCTTCTCTTGGGGGAATCCTCCTGCCCTCCTCCTAAAATGGCGGGGGCGTTTGCGGCAGGCGGCGGCTTCGTCCGCTGTGAACATCCATCACGCTGCGCGACTGCTTTATTGTACCGCGTAGCTCTTCGTTTCGTGGGAAACAAGAGCGCTCCGGATCTGAGAGTGCTCCGGCACGCTCTGAGAGCGTTACGGAACGCCTTGGAACGGATTTGTTCTCGCCCAGTGACATCATCATCATCCTCATCATCAGCAGCGTCAGCATCATCAGCATCATCACCACCAGCATCATCATCAGCATCATCATCAGCATCATCATCATCATCGTCATCATCATCATCGTCATCATCATCATCTTCATCAGCATCATGATTGTCATCATCAACATCATCATAATCATCATCATCACCATCATCATCATCATCAGCATCATCATCATCATCATCATCATAATTATCATCATCATCATCATCATCATCATCATCATCATCATCATCATCATCATCATCATCATCATCATCATCATCATCATCATCATCATCATCATCATCATCATCATCATCATCATCATCATCATCATCATCATCATCATCATCATCATCAATATATATATATATATATATATATATATGTAGGGCGTCCGAGGGGGTTCCCGGGGAAGTTTTCGCGTGGGCTTCTCGGGGCGGGAGCGTCGGCGGCCTCCCTGGTCGAGGGTCTTCGCATGGAGGGTCTCTGGGGGCTTCCCGGGGCGGAGGCAGCCTTCCTGGGCGGGAGCTCGCACGGTGTAGGGTTTCCAGGGGCTTCCGGGCCCCCCCCCCAGGCGCAAGTTTTCGCACGGAGTACGGCCTCTGGGGGGTGTTAGGGCCTCCGGAGGCCTCGGGAGCGTGGGCAGCCCCCCACCCCGGCAGGACTTTTCGTATGGTGCAAGGTTTTTGGGGGCTTTGGGGTCGCGAGCGTGGGCAGCCCTCCTGGACCGATGTTTAGGGCCTCCGCGGGCTTCATGGGGCGGAGGCAGCCTCCCCAGACGGGAGTTCTCGCAGTGTGTAGGGCTTCCAGGGGCGTCCCGGGGCGAGAGCGTTGGCAGCCT